ACGGCTCGAAAGTTTCTTTACAATTTGCACTGATTTTCCCCAAGAGACACTATTCTTACTATTGTTGCGTTGTTTTTTATATTGTGGATAAAAAAATAGTAAGAGAGAAATAGACAGTTGATAATAAAATCCGAGCTGCAAAAACAGTCTTAGGCTGAAATTTATAAAACTTTCACTTCGACTAAACGAAAATTACGAGCTAAGCAAGTGTTTCGTATTTGCAAACGAACTTTGCTTATGTTTTATGCCTTATAAGGTTTTATTTAAAAATGAGTTTCGTCATAACGATCGGCGTGCACTATTAGCAAATGCGTAGCATAAAATGTTTGTATACTAAGTGCCATTTAGCATGGCAATACCGAGCAAACACCCCTTCCAACCAATTTTTTTTTTCTTTTTTTATTTAGAGTCTTTTACACGACGTCAGTTCCATCATAACCTAAACTTAGTATACTACGTATCTGAGCAGCGCTGCTAGTAACAGTCTTTTTGCTCGTGTCGTATGGGGGTTGCATAGTATACAAATTTATACCACCTCGAATGTTCGGTTCAAGCTGGATTTACATTTGTTTGACGTGTCGTGTCGTGACGCGTCAGAACGGTATCGATTTCGAAAACAAAACACAAGCCGTCATGTCAGATTGCGACACCCTAATATAAATCTAACCTTATTAAATGTATGACACTGATACCGTTCTGACCGCGTCACGACACGACACTTCAGACAAATGTAAATCCGACTTAATGTGTAGATCTCTCATCAACACCGCATCTCTCATAAGCAAGTGATATGCTTCCAGTGACTGCTACAATTACAACATGGATTTAAATATGATTAATCAGACGCCAAATAAATCTTGCACATATGAAAATAAGAAAATAACACTACCATAACACAAATTCTATGATAACACAACAATCGCATTATCAGTCACTTGATAAGAAGTTATTAGTCATAATAATTTTCATATTCTTAACGCAGTTACAGAAAACATCTGTTCTATTTTTTATAATATCAAGGGACGGGACGAACAAGTCGTGCGCCTGGTGGTTGACTGTTGCAGTGCCACTCAGAGCTCGCAAAGATCTTAGGGGCACTACCACTGCGCCCGTCACCCTGAGAACGACTACAAAAATATTCTTACGAAACTTTTTAACTGGAACTTTGAGTATAATGTTACTGAGGAGCTTTGGACAATCAATGTCATTCTGTGCAATGTTCAGAAGAAAACTGTGTACATCATTTGTGTAAACGATATTCTCCAATGTTCCTAATAACGTGCGAAAGTATTATTGTTAGTGTATCATAGTACCAATTTAAGATGTTATACTTATATTTCATGCAGGTAATTATGTGACGACTACATTTTTTGCATGCTTAGAATATTTTCTGGCGAAACATGTTTGTACATTTTTTTTTTATTTATTTATTTATTACAAACTTAAAACCTTAAATACTACGTTAATACAATGTAACATAAACATCAACGTTTTCCCGTACATTGCATAGTTCGTCGTCGGTGATCTGGCTTTCGTATAATGTAGGTAGATGCTTAAAATAATACAGTGTAGATATTTCTTTTTAGTGACTATTTCCGAGGGGTTAATGTGTGTGTGGTGTGTGATGCTGATGCGTGATTATGAGGAGTGCGTGTGAGTGTCGCGCGGGTGAATTGAATAGAACGATTTATTGTTACTCGTCGATGCGACTGTGTGTGCGTGGAGCAGGTAGTGAATGTTCATACAGTGTGTTCTTTTTTATTTTTCTACCATGTTACTTTTGGTATTTAATCATTTAAATAAGAACTAACTGTTGATATAAGGATAAGTAAATTATATTATTTGTTATTATAATAAATATATATATATTAGGTTATTAAAATATTAGTAGAATAAATATAACTTAATATTGTTATATTATATACATATTATCAATTTCGTTATAAAGTATCAGTAATTTATATTAATTATTTATTTATTTATTTTTGTATTGTTTTCAGAAAATATTCTTTAAGTTTATTTTTAATATTTTGGCGATTCATTTCATGTTTTAGAGTAGTTGGTAGTTCATTAATTAAGGAGGGTATTTTATGGGCAAGTTGGTTATAGCCGTATTGATTTTGACACTTGGGTAAGGTGAGTTTGGTTTGGGTATTACTTCTAGCTGGGTATTTCCTTATTTGCTGTATCTGTAAGTCTGTATTGAAGAATTGCTCGACCAAGAGGGTGTACTTTACTTTTTCATGTATTGGCATTATGCCGCAAAACGCGAACAATTCGCTGTAATCGTCCTTATGTTTTTCTTTTATTTTAAGTGGCACGATTTTTTTAAGAATTCTTAGTTGTAGCTCGTATATATGATCAAGATGAGACTTGTAAGTTCGTCCGTAGCTACTTAAACCGTATCCTATGATAGATTCTCCAAGTGCTTTGTAAAGTGACAGTCTGATATGGAATGGAATTTTATTTTTGATGATGGTAAATTTTGCTAGTATGGCTCGAAGCTTATCGCATATACTATGTATGTGAGTGATCCATTTCATTCTGTCATCAATAATTAACCCAAGATAGGTTTGCTTACGGACTACTTCCAAATGAGGACAGCAACATGATGTGAGTCTATGTGTGTGCATACAAGAATGTGTATGGGCTGTTATGTGTATATCTACATGTAACTTATTCTGGGAGGAACATATGTACAAAAGTTTGGTCTTGCTTGCGTTTAGGACAAGTCCGAAGTCATGAGACCACATATTTAGCAGGTCGAAATCACTCTGTAGTCGGTCTTGCGCCGATTTGATATTAGTATCTGCTGCTAGTATACATGTGTCATCGGCGAACTGAAATATTTCGCAGTTTGAAATTAAATTTGGCAGACTATTGACGTAGGTCAGGTAATGTAAGGGCCCTATTACTGAACCTTGTGCTGTTCCACTAGTGACAGTTACTCGATCACTAAAAGATTCGCCAATTTTTGTGCAGTAAGAACGGTTGTCGAGATAGTCTTTGCACCAATTCAACAGAGGACCTCTGATACCGCAGTCATCTAACGTTTCCAAAAGTATATTATGTTTTAGAGTATCGAAAGCTTTACTATAGTCTATAAAAGCTACAAGAATATGCTTTCTACTATCGAGATGATTGTATATTACATCAGTAAAATAAGAAAGCAGCTGCGTTGTACTTTTACCCTTTTGGAACCCATATTGCTTATTGGAGAGAATTTGATTTTTGTTATAAAATGTATGAATCTGATTGCAAATGAATTTTTCTATTATTTTATCGAGTGTAGGTAAAATCGTGATCGGTCTATAGTTGTCATAATCTTTTTTACTACCTTTTTTATGCACAGGTCGTACAATTCCAGTTTTGAGTTCTGCTGGGAATCGTCCATTTTTTACAGAAGTGTTTATTAATTTAGAGATTGCGAATGTTATTTTATCACAAAGTAATTGGATATCTACAGCCCTTAACAGGTCCATGCCGGGTGCTTTCCTAATATTTAATGATTTTATGATAGGTTTTATATTATGTATTGTTGCCTTCTTAAAGCGAATTGAAACGTTTGCAGGTTTTTTGTACTGGTTTTTGTTTAGTATTAATTTGTTACAGTTTGGTATGATGTTTTTAACGTTATTTATAAATGTATTTGAAAATTTGTTAGCAATATCTTCTAATGTTATAGACTGGTTTTTAAAAGCGTTCACGACTATGCTATCTATTGAGGGTTTAATACGGCCAGATACTCTGTTCAATATGTTCCACAGATTTTTATGACTATTCCTATTAATATATATTTGATTTTTTATATAATTGTTTTTAGTATTTTCTATAATTTTATTGGCAGAATTTCTGGCTTTATTATATTTTTGTTTCAGAATCATATCATTTGTGTCACTTAACCATTGCATGAATAAATTGTCGCGGTATTCACATGCTTTTATTATTTTGTCGTTGACCCAGTAATTGTTAGAACGCAAAGGATTTGATTTGGTTTTTAGCGTTATTTTTGATTTTTCGTAGCACGAATTTAAGCTCTGACTTATAAATTCATAAATATTTTCTGGACAATTCATTGTATTCACTTCATGCCAGTCTATTTCGTTCATAAGTACTTTTAATTTTTTTATGTCGTATGTTGTATAATTTGTAAAAGGAACATCCTGTACGCAGTTTGTATTGGTGCCGCAGAAAGCGACAACCACAGTCCGATGGTCTGCTAGTTTTGTGCCGATCGCCGCGGTGAATAGGTCTTGCGTTTGGGATCTCGCATAAATATGATCGATACACGACTGTGTTAAAATATATTTTTTATTTTTACTTTTACGTAATTCAGTACGTGTATACTCGGTGATCCCGCATGCAATACCGCAACCGTAAAGGATGTTATTGTATTTATGGTTTACAGGTGATTCTGTTTTGAGGTCAATATTAATATCACCTGTCATGCAAAAGTCGGACTGTGTGTTAATTTTATCTAGGATGGGTTTTAGCTCATGAAGAAACAAATGTTTACTTTTTATAGGTGGACGGTATATTGCACACATAGTCACGGAATAATTTGTAGGGGTTGTGATTTCGAATAACACGCATTCAAATTGTTTTGTATTGGTATGTATAGTGGTTAGTTTATGTTTTTTGTTATAATAAATTATTATACCACCGCCTTTACGATTCCTCCGTAGCTCGGTGTGCATATTATATCCGTTGATGTTAAAAAGAGAACTGCTGGAGTCTTTAATGTTTACTTCTGTTAGAATTATGATATCGATACATCTATTACAAGAATAGATGCATTCTTCCAGTGTAGCAAAGTTTTTAATTAGAGATCTAATATTTACGTGCATGCAAATTAGGTTAGTGTACTTGTAGGGAATATTATCAAGAAAGCTATTTATATTAATACAATCTTTTATTTCTATAATATCGGTTAGTTCATTATTTGTGATAGCCATTTCTGTGTTTAATGTAAGTTAAGTCAGTGTTGTGTAGGTATTTACCAGAGTGTGTTGGGTTAGAATTTAAGTAGTTTGTTGACATCTTCTTCGGATCGAATTGTTATGATTTTTCCATTATCTTCCTTTCTTGCTTTAACGACTCCTTGTTTGCACCAGACATATTTGTAGGTATCTCTGAGTTTTTGTTTTGAATACCATAGCAATTTTTTATTGTGTGGAGTTAATGCTTCTCGGACGAATATTTTTTCAGAGGCTTTAGGTTCCTTAACGCTTGGACAAACATCGGCGATTAGCAAGCTGGCTGCTTTAGATGCTGAAGTCCAGGTGATACAATCAGCGTCATCAGAAAAATGAACTATAATATTCCCTGGTCGGTCCTTACTTGTTCCTTGTCGTTGAACGGTTCTAATATTGGTTGTAGGGGTTTTTAATTTTCTTGCTACTGTCTTTACTATTTCTGTTATGTTTTCGTTCTCCTCCCGTGGTATATTCGACAGTTCTATTGCTGAAGAAAGACGTTCCTGTTCCAGAGATTGAACCCGTTGCTCCAGAGCTCCGACACGAGTTAAGAGGTGTGTGTTAAGATGAGATAGCTCTGTGTTCTTCTTTTGTAGATCTTTTATAGATGTTTTAAACTCATGGATAGTTTTTTCTAGTTCTTCCATTTGATCGGAGTGATATTGCAGAGAGCCTGATAGTTCTGCAAGTTCTTTCCTAACAGTTTTTTCCATCTCTATCGAAATATCTTTTAGTAACTGTTTCACGTCGATTTGGAAGGGCAGTTTGTCAGCAGCTTCCTCAGTTTCCTCGTCCTCGCCCTCAGGGATTACGATCGATTTTCGTTTTGATGTTGATAGTTCGCACTCTTGACACAACCATAGCAGGTTGCTAGATCGAAGAGCCACCTGCTGCTTGGTAGTCAAGCCTGAGCATTCACTACTGAGGTGCACGCACTTTTCACATCTACGGCATTCCACTCCCGGGCATTTTTTGGTGATAGATTTGTCGCAAATATCACATTTCTTCATATTGAGGGTAGAATTGAGTTATCGTTAGAGTAAATTAGTCACTGAGCGTAACACGTCTGCTCGCTCAGACTACCGGCGACGAATTTTCAACTATTCTACTATTTGTATATATTTGTTACCTTAATCACCATTTACTGCTAGCAGTAGAGCTCCTTGTGAAAGAGTTCGTCCAGGGTAATATTGCCACCTTACCTGTTTCTGGCGCCAAGCAGTAATGTCACCATTACTGTGTTCCGATTTTAAAGGGTAAGGGTGCTGGTAAAATTACAGGCACATGGGACTTGTCAACATACGTCTCAGGTTGACGGGCGCAGTGGCAGTGCCTCTCAGATTCTTGCCATTTAAAGCTCTGAGTGGCACTGCAACTGTTATGGATAGGCGTGTAGCTTACCATCAGGCTTACGAGTTCATCCCGTCACTTGATATTACATAAAACAAAGTGTTTCTACCATACAAACGATTTTATTTGATTTGAACTATTAGGCTACCACTGTCATTATAATTTTTAAAGTGCAATAAGAAATATATTTTATTCATTCATTCAATCGTTCATGTTTCAAATATTGTGTATAGTAACCTGGTAGGCCACTGGTCTGTGCTACATTTACATGGTAATTAAGTGATTTGTCATAAATTACACCAGGACGTATTACGTATGTTTAATTCGTAGTTATTTTGTTACTGAATACAAATGATTTCGTTGAAACAAAGGTTAACGGTTATGGGGTCCATTTAAATAAATCTGTGGGCGGTATTGCGTGTTAAGACGGCCTCCAACGGTCTGTGGTTTTTACCGATCACTTTGTACGAGCTTGTGTCGTCTTATAGCCGTGGAGCTCCATGTGAAAGAGTTCGTTCAGGGAAGTATTGCCACCTTACCTATTTCTGTTGCTAAGCAGCAATGTGAGCAATACAGCTTAGCTAGTGAGGTTAGGGTGCTGGTGAAATTACAGGCACATGGGGCTTGTCAACTTATATCGCAGGGTGACGGGTGCAGTGGCAGTGCTCCTCTACTTAAAAAGTGCGTACTTAAAAAATTAAGTTGTAGATACCTTCGAACTCTCAATTAGTAAACAACTGTCTTCCCATTAAACTACCATGTCGCTAACAATATTAACTGATAGACTCAACTCACACTGGCGCAAAGTCGTGTTTTTCTCCTATAGCATATTCATCTCTATTATCGCGCGTCGCCAGGCGGTGTAGTTGAAAAACAGGACGCGACGCGACGCTTCGACTCTGCGCCAGTGTGGGTTGAGTCAAATTTTAACTTAACTGCTAACCATTTCTCAGAAATAAGCAGAATATGCTTTAGAAATTTGTCAATGACAAATGCAATTGTTTTCACAGCAAAATATCTTTAGAGAAACGACCCAACTAGTTGCGCTTCCTCTTCCAACAAGGTTGAGGAAATTGGAGATAAATCTTGAACCCAATAGGTACTCAGCCTAAAATAAGGTACGGTTAGGTTAGGTTACACACTTCTTAAAGGAAAAATCTTATTTTTTCTCAGACTAGCTTTTGTCAGTAATAACTTAATGCACAAATCCACACAACTCCCACTTCTAAGTACTAAATCTGTGAACAGGGTTAAGCCATATTACAACAAGACGAGTATGGTAACTCCATACAAACGTAACAGCGTAGTTTATATGTATGCGCGCCTTTCGTGCGCCAGATTCTCGCGCTGTATAACACTGGTCGTCCCGACGCGCTTTTTTTTATTATGCGAATGTGTGCGTCCGTATAAGACGCGTGGCGGGCGTGCACACATACAAACCACGCTGTTACGTTTGTATGGAGTTACCGTACTTGTCTTATTATAATATATAAACGCTCTTCACGGGTTCAATACCCAGAAGTGCGACTTGTGTGGATTTGTACATTAAGTCATTACAGACAAAAGTATTTATATATTAGTATTTCTTTGTATGGAGATGCCATACTTCTCTTATTTTACTATGGTTAAACCTTTATGTTGGCATTATATGTGAGCCATCAACGATTACTACATGATATTTTTCATTATCATTAAAATAAATGATAATTATATGATGTTAGTCTGCCGCGACAACTGGACCTATGAAAAGCATGATATTTTGGTTTGATAAAACGTGTACACGCGATTTAAAACAGAAAAAACAACTTATAAATTTGTGAAAGGAGGCTTATTGGGTGATAGTTTTCAAGATCGCGACTTAGGCATTTTTCCACATTTAGAGAGTGACACCTTCCTGGATAACTTTGTTAAATGGTTTTGCGAGTGGTTTTAGTATCGCGGAACATCAATAATTTTAGTAGCTATACTGCTAATAAAATTATTTTACAATTTTATGAATAGAAATATTTATACCCATTTTTATATTAAATTAATTATAATAAAAAAAGTGCGTATGATAGTTATGCACCTCCAATGTTATATGTCTTATATCTTAGTAGCAGTTCGTCCAGCGAAGTACTGCCACCTTACTTATTTCTGCCGCTAAGCAGTAGGTAATGTTAGCATTACTGATTCCGGTTCTGAATGGTAAGGGTGCTGATGAAGTCACAGGCACAAGGGACTTGTCAAGTTATATCTCAGGGTGACTGGCGCAGTGGTAGTGCCCCTCAGATCTTTGTGATTTAAAGCTCTGCGTACCATTGCAACTGTTACGGACAGGCGTGTCGCTTACCATCAGGTGCATGACTTATTAGTCCCGTCACTTGATATTAAAAAAAGTCACGTGTATTTCCGTTACTGAGACTCTAAAAATCAGCGTCGTAGCGCTTTCAGTGTGTCCGTAGCAGCATAGCGCTCATTCTGGTTTGCCCATTATTTATTCGTCAAATATTAGTGACATAAGTTATTTACTCTTATTGTTTATAAACTATAATGAGGTATGTTATGCTTTCCAGTAGTTTTAAATCTTGTACCGTTAGCGTAAAGAATTTTATTGTGTATTGTTGTTATTTTCTGTGATTTTTGTTACAAATTATTTAAAGCAGTCTTTGTACACACAATATCTTTTTATTTAAAGGTAGCTGCATAAACGCACCTTGTCAATGTGTAGACTCTTCCTTTGATCCGCCGTGTGTACTTGCCGTGTCACAATAAAATCTCGTTTAATCTTAGCAATTTCGTTTGTTTTAGGTTTAGGTTTGTTATGGGCCCATCACGCTTCCACTTTGATGTTAGAGTATAAATAATTTCAATTCCACTCTACTTCTTCATATATTTTGTACGCATGCTTCACTTGTATCGGTACTTATAACAGGTGAGTTGTTCACGCGTCGTTAAGTGCAATTAATATCAGAAGGGTTGTAACTTCGACAGCACCCTCAATATTATTAATCCATTTAATTTATCATCATAAAGGCCTGATTACACTAATGCGAATTGACACGAATGTCACGCTCAAACCTCGAACCTTAACAAACAATAAAGTGTTTATGTACCAGCTATCATCGATCATTAATATTACGGACGGCCATAAGCGCCTGGCCGGTTAGAGCAATATGAGGAGAATTGCGTAAATAATTCAAGAACTCGATGCGACGTCCGCAGCGCATTGATAGGGCCGGTACGGTGTGGGAGATGCCGCATCGGCATTCATTCTTATTCGATATTCCGATTCGAGTTGTTGTTCGATTATTCGACTTGTAAATAAGATGGATATAGAGATAAGGTGTTCAAATAAGCGTTTATGGAAATGTATACAGTCCAGTTTCCTAAGTTTCTATAAACGAAGATTACGAAGTAATTCGGAGTTTCATTAGACATGAAATCCGACAAGTCTGGTTCGTTTGACACGGATTCAGCCGGGATACAACAATTAATATAAGATTTGCAGTCTGAAAGGTATATCTAGGCAACTTCTGTACGCGTTCTGTTTGTTTTCGTGCAAATGGAATGATGGTTTTCAATTTAGCCAGGTTCAGTATTCGCGCAAACGTGTCCTTAAAATCTCTAGTCTTGCCGAAAATTCGGCATGAACATTTTTGGCATAACGTCACCTGAGAGAAATATATGATTTTTTTCTTCTCTCTCTTAGTACGTTTACAGCTAGCTACCAGTGTCCATAATAGATATCGCTTTATTTCAGTATTTATTTCGTTGAATATCATGATGTCTTTACTAACATTGTAACGAATCACAGCACTTGCTACAAATCTCTTTTGTGTATATATTTCATAGTCTTTTTTAGTTCTATATTTACTTTAGTTTTATATTTAAATTCTAAATTTAAATGTATTTATTTTCGGCGCCATTGATGCAGCCCGCATCACCATGTTATTAATTTTTTTTCTTATATGAAATGTGTCATAATAATACAATACAAATTTATGTATAAAGTTCTCTTTAGTAAATAAATTTAAATAATAACACTTTTGTCAAACTTGTATCAAAATCGAAAGAGAACGATATTATAGAGAGTACGATAATGACTTCCAAATACATTCACAGTTCAAAAACACAAACATAACCAGTAAGAGCAAAGTGGATTTTGAGTGTGGTACGCTTCAGTTTGAACAGACCCTTAATGAACTTGCTGTCTTGTGACGTAAGCGGGAGGGATCATTATTTTTTTTATCTATATTTAGTTGAAAGACTTTCTTAAGCGGCTTGTGTAATCTATCTCCGGCATGATCTAAAGACGGGCGTTTATAGAGCTTATTTGAATTTTATTTTTATGCTTGTACTATAAAATGTAAGCGCGTTAAAATGTAAGGACATTTTTTATATGATAACAAGTGAAGGGACTAACAAATCGTGCGCCTGATGGTAAGTGACACGCCTGTCCATAACAGTTGCAGTGTCACTCAGAGCTTTAATACATAAAGATCTGAGGGGCACTGCTGCTGCGCCAGTCACCCTGAGATGTAGGTAGATAAGTCTCATACGTCTGTAATTTCACCAGCACCCTTACCCTTGAAAACCGGAACTCTGTAATGCTCACGTTATTGCTTGGCGGTAGAAATGGGTAAGGTGGCGTACTTCCCTGGACAAACTCTTTCACAAGGAGCT